CATGATGTGATACTAGGGACATTGGTGTAAAATATTAGTCTCGCATACACATGAAAATAACCAGTGGGATTTTCTGTCAGTTGGACCTTCGAATCCCATGCTTGTCGGTTAGATGTTTGGTGGGCACAATAGTGGATCATTACTGACCCAGACAACCTTCAGCTGTCACTGATGGTGGAATCAGAGCCTATGTTAGGGGTGATATGCATGTTATATGTACTTCCGAATTGACACAGATTATGTCCCTGTGAAGTTGTGTGACTGTCCCAGTGATATTGTGTGACTGTCCCAGTGAGATTGTGTGACTGTCCCTGTGGGATTGTGTGACTGTCCCTGTGGGATTGTGTGACTGTCCCTGTGAGATTGTGTGACAGTCCCAGTGAGATTGTGTGACTGTCCCTGTGGGATTGTGACTGTCCCAGTGAGATTATTGTGACTGTCCCTGTGGGATTGTGTGACTGTCCCGTGGGATTGTGTGACTGTCCCTGTGAGATTGTGTGACTGTCCCTGTGAGATTGTGTGACTGTCCCAGTGAGATTGTGTGACTGCCCTGTGAGATTGTGTGACTGTCCCTGTGACTGTCCCTGTGAGATTGTGTGGCTGTGAGATTGTGTGGCTGTGAGATTGTGCTGGCTGTGGATTGTGTGACCGTGAGATGGGGGCTGTGGGGATTGTGTGACCATGAGTATTGCGTGGATGTGGGATTGTGCTTGCTGTGAGACCTATTGTGGCTGGCTGTGGGATTGTGTGGCTGTGGGATTGTGCAGCTGTGAGATTGTGTGACTGTGAGGATTGTGCGTGACTGAGATTGTGTGGCTGTGGGATGATTGTGAGGCTGTGGGATTGTGTGACTGTGGGATGATTGTGAGGCTGTGGGATTGTGTGACTGTGGGATGATTGTGTGGCTGTGAGATTTTGTGACTGTGGGGATTGTGTGGCTGTGGATTGTGTGACTGTGAGATTGTGTGGCTGTGGGATAGTGACTGTGGGATGATTGTGTGGATGTGGGATTGTGTGACTGTGAGATTGTGTGACTGAGATTGTGTGGCTGTGGGATAGTGACTGGGATGATTGTGTGGATGTGGGATTGTGTGGACTGAGATGGACTGAGATTGTGTGACTGTGGAGATTGTGTGACTGTGAGATTTTGTGACTGTGGGATAGTGTGACTGTGGGATGATTGTGAAGCTGTGGGATTCTGTGAGTGTGAGATTGTGTGGCTGTGAGATTTTGTTACTGTGGGATTGTGTGGCTGTGAGTTTTTGTGACTGTTGGATTGTGTGGCTGTGGGATAGTTTGACTGTGAGATTGTGTGGCTGTGAGATTGTGTGGCTGTGGGATAGTGTGACTGTGGGATGATTGTGTGGATGTGGGATTGTGTTACTGTGAGATTGTGTGACTGGGATTGTGTGACTGTGGGATTCTGTGACTGTGAGATTGTGTGGCTGTGAGATTTTGTTACTGTGGGATTGTGTGACTGTGAGATTGTGTGACTGTGGGATAGTGTGACTGTGGGAAGATTGTGTGGATTTGGGATTGTGTTACTGTGGCATTCTGTTGTGCTGTGACTTTGATTGTGTGGCTGTGAGATTGTGTGGCTGTATTGTGGACTTTGAGATTGTGTGTGGACTGTGACTGTGGAGATTGTGACTATGACATTGTGTGGCTGTAAGATTGTGTGACTGTGAGATTGTGTGGTTGTGGGATTGTGTGACTGACTGTGAGATTGTGTGACTGTGACTGAGATTGTGCGACTGTGAGAGATTGTGACTTTGAGATTGTGTGGACTTTGATTATGAGATTGTGCGGGACTGTGACTGTGACATTGTGGGATTGTGTCTTTGAGATTGTGTGGCTGTGGATTGTGTAGCTGTGGGATTGTGGACTGTGACTTTGAGGATTGTGTGACTGTGATATTGTGGGATTGGGATTGTGTGACTGAGATTGTGACTGTGAGATTGTGTGGCTGTTACTTTGAGATTGTAGGAATGGGGTTTGTGGCTGTGACTTTTGAGATTGTGTGACCGTGAGATTGTGTGACTGTGACTTTGAGATTGTAGGAATGTGGGATTGTGTGACAGTGACTGTGGCTGTGACAGAGACCGTGTGACTGTGTCCCGCCATATAGTTCGAATATTGCTGAGTATGGCGTTAAACAACAAACCGAGACCGCGGCTGTGACTGTGTGGCTGAGACTGTGACTGAGACATGATGCTGATACTGATGATGGTTTTACCAGGAGGACAGCCCGGAGGAGGGTGTGGACGACATGCCGGCCCGCCAGCTGGGGTTGGAACTGGTGTACCACCTACAGACTCTCCAGTACGTCGACCATCTCCTGGAATACCACAACAAGCGTAAGTAGGGTTCTAGAATCTCAATAACTCTGGATAGAAAACAGCCCTAGCACTCTTATTGCTATTTTCACAAGGGTCTTGGCTTGATCCGATTGGAAAACTGGCAGCTTGGCTGAATGTGTGTTATGTTAACCTGGTGGCATGTGATTTTGATCATTCAACCTGTTGCTTAGCAACTGATCACTGAACTATACTGAGTCAAAAAGAAACTTCACAAAATGTAATTTGAATAATAATGAATAATTGTTCTCTGATGATACATCTATGTAACCCGAAATGGGATCCCTATCTCTTCGACTCTAGAAAAACGTTAGCAAAACCCACTCAAACCCATCCATTCAGCCGCGCAAATCGACGTTAGTGCCAAATCAGGTTTTGCACGTGCAGCCCATCACGTGATTTTCGCATCAAAGTTTTCTTCATATGCACGTGTTTGCATTGTCCCTCAAGAATTGAAAAACACTTTTTAAACCACAGTTCTAACGGTAATTTTGAAATGCCACGATTGTCAAATGTGCAACCTGAACGCGTACGCTTGGCATGTTGCAAGCGGAAGATCAGTTATTGACGCCTCAAGAGCAAATGGATGCAGCCGTCAGACTGTGTATGACTCTTATGCAGGTCGCCTACAAATTACAATGGCACCACTTGATCACTTCTGCAAGGTCGGTCAGTCCACCGTGGCACGCCACACGCAGCAGAAGACCAATTTCAAATCGTCCCTACGCCACCTATGTGACAGATTTCTGCCAGCTACACGCAATCCAGGGCTGAGATGTTTAGAGGGGCCGACTGTCCTCACAGACCATTCAAAATCGGTTAAGCGGCTGCCAATCTCCATTCTCGACGTCCATATCGTGGGCCAATATTGACGCCGTTTCATCAACGTCAACGTCTGCTGTGGGCCCAACGTCACCTCCGATAGACCCAGAGGGACTGGAATCGAGTCGTCTTTATCGATGAATCCAGGTTTACCCTCAGATTCGCAGACGGCAGGCATAGAGTCTGGAGACGACGTCGTGAACGGTATGCCCAATGTTGTGTACAGGAAGTCGACAGATTCGGGGGCGGAAATTTCCTTCAAAACGCTGGAATCAACGTCATGGACTGGCCATTGAGGTCCCCTGACCTTCATCCAATAGAGCACGTTTGGGATGCACTTGGGAGAAGGTTTCGTGGTCTTAGGAACCAACCTCAGAATTTGCAGGAACTTGACGCTGCCTTGCAAGAGCAATGGCACAGAATCCCCAACCACGTGTTCACAAGCATCAGGAAGTCAATGAGGAGACGGTGTTTGGCAGTGGTGAATGCGCGGGGCAGCCATACACGATATTGAACTGAGAAATTTCGCATTTTTATTCTTGTGACTTGACATTCTGTATACCCATGTGTTTTTGAACGCATGTGTAGCCTAATGGAACTGATTATGGCACTGTCAGTGTATCGAGTACATCACACAGATCTCAGCAATGAAATAATAACAATTTAACCATCTTACCATCTCTTGTTCCTTTATAGTCCCCTGAAGAAAGATTGTGAAGTTTCTTTTTTGACTCAGTATAGTTGTATTCAGCAAAGTCTTGTCAAGTAAAGGAAATATTTTTCCTACATAGTTTGTTTGTGGAATGCCTTTGTTTGGAACACATAGGAGTAGCTGGGTTGGTTGGTTGTTTGTTGTTTAATGCCACACTCTGTAGTTTTCCAACTATATGGCGGCGGTCTGTAAATAATCGAGTCTGGACCAGACAGAGTAGCTAGGAGTCATATTGTTCTGAATATGGTAGATTGTGTTGCTCGGTTTCAGATGGCAGTGGTCGATCTCTGGATGATCCCAACCACTGGGTATCCTCCAGAACCTGTTCTCAATGACCTTCACCTCTGTGTCAATGCGGATGCCATACCTATATTCAGCACGATGGGTCGTGATGCAGTAGTGCATGTACTCAGTCAGGACAACAACCTCAGCGTCCTCCTGCCGTTCGTGGAAGAGTCAGGTGAGCCAGCAGCCTGTTTTGCTTGAGACAACTAAACCGTGCTAAGGGCAGTGAAACTCCAATGATGGTAATCTTCATTGACTTGCAGCATTTGAAGACTATAATTCCAAACATGTTCTTAATGCTTCAATTGTGCTACATATTTGGAAGAGAATAATGTAAACATAGCTAACAGCAGTTCTGAGACTAGTCTACCGAGGGTGTTACTAGTACTGGACTACTCTAGAAAAACTAGACTTACATAGATGCATCTTTTAAAATGTCCTCTTGTCACCTTTTTGGAAATGTTATATGTGGTCAAAGCTTTCAGGGAAATATTTTTTGTGGAAAGAGCTGTGGCATAAGCTGGAGCTCACCGTATCAAAGATTGTAGTTTGATTTTCATTTTGCTGTACCATGATATTCTTGAAGTGTTGCTGCAAATGCCATAAAAGTAGACTGACTTGCTCTATTCTGAGCTGCTAAACAGCATCATAATGCTGTTTTCTCTCACTATTTATGTACACACTGACACGCAGTAGTGAGTTTGCCTTGAACTATAGTGTGTATGGTCCGTGGTCCTACCCAGATGATGAAGATGGAAACCGTGAGGTTGAAGAAGTCTGTGTGTGCTGGCTACACTCCACCTGCTGCTGTGTCTGGTCATCAAGCTGTCCAACAACGTGCTGATGCTGGAGAAGTTTGCCACTCGGATCCTGGCAGTCAGTGAACAAGGTAAGGCTGGATCCAACCTGTACAGGTTATGATGTGACGTATAACTCACATCTAACCCATCTGGGATTAGGTGCAACACTCTGAGAGTTTGAGTTCAAGTCCTGAAAGACGACTCAACCCTAAAAGTACAAGAAGTTGTTCTTAACGGAGAAAATGTAATCCCAAATATGACATGTTACATTGGACCATTTTCTAAAAGGCCTATTCATGTGTATTGATGACTGAAATACTGTTAAAACTCACTCACCCATGTACATTATCATACAAACTAGAGTCAGAAGGTTAGGGACTGTTCCTAATTTATGGCTTTGTGTATGTGTGGTGTGTGTGTGTGGGGGTTGTTGATGATTTTAAGGGGGTCATCCATTTTGTTCTGGGGGAGGTAGGGGGTCATCCATTTTGTACACATGTTTCTAGGGGGAGTCAGCAATTTTGTACATAAAAATATTAAAAATTAAGCTTACAAAATATTGGAAGGGGGAGGGGGGTCATTGATTTTGTACATGACATGCAGGGGGAGTCACTTACTTTGTACATAAAATTTAGGGTGGGTCATTCATATTGTACATGCTTTTCCATAATAATCATCATCATCCCCCCTGGCCATAAATTATAAATGGTCCCTTAGTGAGTGTTGTAGGTTGGTAGAAATGCTGTGTTTTTCTGTAGATTTCAACAGTCGCCTGACGGAGCTGGAGGAGTGGGTGGCACCTTTGAAGAAAGTGCCGTGTGTGTCACGTGACAAGATGTCTGACCTGATAGGTCAGCTGAAGATGTATGCGGAGGATGTACACAAGCTCCCCCCTGGCCTCATCACCACTGTCCGTATCCTCCATTACCTGTCTGTCCCTCCAGAGAAGCTCTATACACAAGGTCTGTAGTCTGAGGGTGAATGTACTTCTGTTGGTTCAATGGAATTCCTAACCTACTATGTGATGAAATTAACAGAATATTGACCTTAAACTGATGCTGATGTGGAGGCAAAGGTAACCCAGTGAAGTTAGGTGCCACAATTTGTTGGCAGGAGTTGCCTCCCATGGTTGTGCCAGGATGTTATGATTGGCGGCAAGAAATCACAGATTTACCCTCGAGTCAGATTTTTACAGAGGTAGAAATCATCTTAAGCTACATTACTTTGTGTGTTACCCCAGACCAGACTATTGTCATGGCTGGAGGCAAGATCCAACAGAAAACATGTAATGAGTTGCACATGTGTGCAGTGGCACATACAGAATTATGCAAAAATGATCAGCTCCTAAAATCCTGAGTTCATCACTATTTGTTTGAACGTTAGAGACTTATTTCCAGCACAAGAGGCTAGCAGCAACTTCAGATTTATCAAGTGTGTGCATGAGCACAAGCTAAATCACGATATTAACAGACAGCTGATACTGCCAAGACAAATCTCCTCAATCCCTCACTCACTGATTGTTGCAGATTCTCAGAGTGAGTTGAAGTACATGCACGCCCTGGTGGAGCTGTACAGCGAGGAGTGTTTCCCCATCTTCCTCAGCTTTCTCCAGGTACGTCACTTCATGCAGTCTGGAGGATGCTCTGTTTATATCAATTTAGGATTCAGGGATTGTTTGATTTTTTTACAGTGATTTGTTTATTGTAAAATTCCTGTTAAGTTTTTAGTTACATAAGAAAGTAGAATATAGCCTGGTCTATGAATTTCATATAAAAAAATGCAACATTGATCAATAATGAAGTAAAAAATGCCTTTACCATATGTACCATAATAAGCTCCTTAGAATATTGTCCCAGTTGTGTAGATTGATGCTCATGATGTCAATCACTGGATTGTCTGGTCCAGGACTGATTGTTTACAGACCTCAGTCATACAGCAGGAGTGCTGCTTTCAGCAACAAAGAAACAAACAAATTGGAAAATGTTTAATATGATTACATTCATGCACAATTAGTTTTCAGAGATTGAGTTGCAGCAGACATATATAAACTGAAAAAGTTTTGTTGAGAAAACATTGACTGTCATGTGCATTTTGGTGCTCTTAAGGGACCAGTGTAAACAATGCTTACAGATTGTCTACAAATTGTTCAGGGTCATTTACTGAAGCAGGACACATTATACAGCGATTACAGTAGACAACATGACAAGCTAACCTCTGATCAGGACTAACAGACCACCATACTGTGTTTCTCATGAATACCCTACATTCACACAGAAGCTGAGTGAGAGCCTGCTGCGACGCTGGCAGAAAGGTATCCGACTGAGCAATGATCAGATGTCTCGTTACCTCGCCATCACCCAGCCGTCACTGTCCATAGTGAAGAGGTCCATTGCCTTCGTCATAGAGGGCCGGGAAACAGAGGTGCGTCATCACTGGCGTCAAGTTTGATAACAGTGTAAAAATCAAAACATTGCTCTATGCAATAAATAAAGTTGTATGCTTCATTCTTGGGTCTCTAGTTCCTTATTACTGGGAGGGTAGGTATGTGGGCAAGGTGTTCACCCAGTTGGACTTTGTTGAGTCCCAATATAGATACAATAGATGAAGTCACCCACTATGATATTCCTTAATGTGGCACAAAATATGTTTTGTTCCATCTGATGCTTTTTCATTCTTCATTCATGAATACTTGTCAACCTGAGTTTTTATTTGTAATTTGTTCACCGAACAAGCCCTCAATGTTCCTTCCTGCTGTTCTCTCATGTATGTTGTCACTCATTATGTATGATGTGTTTTTGTGTTTGCAGTTCAAGGACTTGACAGCTCTCCCAGCCCTGTTTGAGCTCCATACAGTGTTGTGTTCAGTACCAATCAGTGTTATGCACAGTCAAGGAATTGCAAAGGTACAATCAAAGAGTCTCAATGTAAACTTGAAAGTAAAGGTTAACAACATCATGGTGGTATTCCATTGCTTAGACCATGAAGGGTTGAGATCTGTCTGCATTGCTTAGACCATGAAGGGGATGGGTCTGACAGCATTGCTTAGACCATGAAGGGTTGAGATCTGTCTGCATTGCTTAGACCATGAAGGGGATGGGTCTGTCTGTGTTGCTTAGACCATGAAGGGGATAAGTCTGACAGCATTGCTTAGACCATCTTGGGGATGGGTCTGACAGCTTTGCTTAGACCATGAAGGAGATGGGTCTGTCTGTGTTGCTTAGACCATGAAGGGGATAAGTCTGACAGCATTGCTTAGACCATCTTGGGGATGGGTCGGACAGCATTGCTTAGACCATGAAGGGGATGAGTCTGACAGCATTGCTTAGACCATCTTGGGGATGGGTCTGACAGCATTGCTTAGACCATCTTGGGGATGAGTATGACAGCATTGCTTAGACCATCTTGGGGATGGGTCTGACAGCTTTGCTTAGACCATCTAGGGATGGGTCTGACAGCATTGCTTAGACCAACTAGTTGATGGGTCTGACAGCTTTTCTTAGACCATGAAGGGGATGAGTCTGACAGCTTTGCTTAGACCATGAAGGGTTGAGATCTGTCTGCATTGCTTAGACCATGAAGGGGATTGGTCTGACAGCATTGCTTAGACCATGAAGGGTTGAGAACTGTCTGCAATGTTTAGACCATCTAGTGGATTGGTCTGACAGCTTTGCTTAGACCATGAAGGGGATGGGTCTGTCTGTGTTGCTTAGACCATGAAGGGGATAAGTCTGACAGCATTGCTTAGACCATCTTGGGGATGGGTCGGACAGCATTGCTTAGACCATCTTGGGGATGGGTCTGACAGCATTGCTTAGACCATCTTGGGGATGGGTTTGACACCTTTGCTTAGACTATCTTGGGGATGGGTCTGACAGCAGTGCTTAGACCAACTAGTTGATGGATCTGACAGCATTGCTTAGACCATGAAGGGGATGGACCTGACAGCAGTGCTTAGACCAACTAGTTGATGGATCTGACAGCATTGCTTAGACCATGAAGGGGATGGACCTGACAGCATTGCTTAGACCTTGAAGGGGATGAGTCTGACAGCTTTACTTAGACCATCTAGGGAATTGGTCTGACAGCATTGCTCAGACCATGAAGGGGATGGGTCTGCCTGTGTTGCTTAGACCTTGAAGGGGATAAGTCTGACAGCATTGCTTAGACCATCTTGGGGATGGGTATGACACCTTTGCTTAGACCATGAAGGGGATGGGTCTGTCTGTGTTGCTTAGACCATGAAGAGAATGGGTCTGACAGCTTTTCTTAGACCATCTAGTGATGGATCTGACAGCTTTGCTTAGACCAACAAGTTGATGGGTCTGACAGCTTTTCTTAGACCATGAAGTGGATGGATCTGACAGTTTTGCTTAGACCATCTTGGGGATGGGTCTGACAGCATTGCTTAGACCATGAAGGGGATGGGTCTGTTTACATAACTTAGACCTTGCAGGGGTCACGTCTGTCCAGTGCTTAGACTTTGAAGGGATGGGGTCTCTCCGCATTGCATAGGGTGCAGTTCAAGACTTCCATGTCAGTTATAAATACAAATACAAATACAGAATAAGGTCCTTTCCACTGAAATAAGTCATATCCAAAATCAAAAGTGCATATTGGTAATTAAAATCTTACCATTACTTTCAAGTGGAGGTACATGATTTTGAACTGATACCTCAGACTGGCAAATCAATATCTTTTGTGGTAGAAGTTTGTAGATACATGGAATTGAGGGTCACTAATACAATTCAGGTTTTGTGATTTTTTGTTTTGTTGGGAGTGCAAGTTAATGAATGATTTTTTAGAATCGGTTTCAAATTTACAGATCCAGAAGGATATAGTGGATGCAATCCTGGCCTATACCCAGCCAGCCCTCAACCAGGCAGCTGCCACAGAAGAAGGTTGGTCTTAATTGTCTCTTGAATGAATGGATCCTCTGACATGGGGTTTATGGGTTAGAATAGGTCCCCAGCAGCCTATGCTGGTTGTCAAAGGTGACGTGATGGATCAGGTGGTTGATGACATTGCAGATGCCTTGTCGTCATACCCTGTCATGGTGGATCATTGTTCACAGTTTCAATCACTGGATTGTCTGGTGCAGACTTGATTGTTTACAGGCCGAGTCATATAAACAACAAACAAACAAACACAAGTATTGTGCAATATGTGCCCTGTCCCACAAAGCAGGCTGAACTCTTCAACAACCATCATTCCTGTACTTTAACATAGACACACGAAAGTCCATCCTTTAGCTGAGACAGATTTATGGAACATACCTGTACATTGCCCACCAGCTGGTTGGGCTGAGACAGATTTATGGAACATACCTGTACATTGCCCACCAGCTGGTTGGGCTGAGACAGATTTATGGAACATACCTGTACATTGCCCACCAGCTGGTTGGGCTGAGACAGATTTATGGAACATACCTGTACATTGCCCACCAGCTGGTTGGGCTGAGACAGATTTATGGAACATACCTGTACATTGCCCACCAGCTGGTTGGGCTGAGACTGATTTATGGAACATACCTGTACATTGCCCACCATCTGGTTGGGCTGAGACTGATTTATGGAACATACCTGTACATTGCCCACCAGCTGGTTGGGCTGAGACAGATTTATGGAACATACCTGTACATTGCCCACCAGCTGGTTGGGCTGAGACAGATTTATGGAACATACCTGTACATTGCCCACCAGCTGGTTGGGCTGAGACAGATTTATGGAACATACCTGTAGATTGCCCACCATCTGGTTGGGCTGAGACAGATTTATGGAACATACCTGTACATTGCCCACCAGCTGGTTGGGCTGAGACGGATTTATGGAACATACCTGTACATTGCCCACCAGCTGGTTGGGCTGAGGCAGATTTATGGAACATACCTGTACATTGCCCACCAGCTGGTTGGGCTGAGACAGATTTATGGAACATACCTGTATATTGCCCTCCAGCTGGTTGGGCTGAGACAGATTTATGGAACATACCTGTACATTGCCCACCAGCTGGTTGGGCTGAGACAGATTTATGGAACATACCTGTACATTGCCCACCATCTGGTTGGGCTGAGACAGATTTATGGAACATACCTGTACATTGCCCACCAGCTGGTTGGGCTGAGACTGATTTATGGAACATACCTGTACATTGCCCATCAGTAGTTTAATTTGTGTCATTGAACGATGGGGCTTAGAACATTTCAGCAGTGGCTGTGTTATCAAATATTCCACTCATGAAATACAGAATCACCTTGAAGGCAGACAAAAATGCTTATTTGTATGATGGTAATGAGATAATTTGATGGGACTTTACTGTTCTACAATTTTGATTTCTTTGAATGATTCAATAAGCTGATCAATTCACAGAGTGCTAAGAGGTGGTGAGGAAGTTGAAGCAGGTTAATTTATGTTTCATTGGATACAAGCCTAGCTGACAGCATATGAATGGTTTGTTTTCCTCAGGTAAGATGCAGTTTGTTGCCTAAATGAGACACGAACACCGTACAATGATATTATTGAGGTTCACTGTTTTCTCCCATTTGCCATGCATGTATTGTGTTGTAGGACTAGCACAGAGTTTGTGGACTATGATGCTGACAGACCTTTTGAAGTATGCAAAGAAACTTCCCTACACATATCTCAGTGGGCTCATCATGATGTCAGAGTTACTTCCCCTGCCACTGCCTCTTCAGACAAAAGAGGTACCATTGCTGTACAATTCCTGTTGCACAATGCATTAATCATATATTCTTCAAATGTTTACCGCTGTTTACAACAGATTAAACTGCAAGACAATAGGTTCAAAGCTTTACACTCACACATGGCTACATATGTGTCATTATGTGAATTCATTTCCTTACACAAGTATCTTGACTTTGTTCCTGTTTTTTTTTTAATCAGCCATTGGATAGCACAGAAAAAAGTGAGGTTGTGATGACACGCAAGTTGTGGAGTGCCCACCTCCATCCCCTATCCTCTCTCATCAATGACCTCATCAAGGAGTGTTCAGGTGAGTCTCTCCTCTCTCATTTGTGACCTCATCAAGGAGTGTTGAGGTGAGTTTCTCCTCTTTCATTTGTGACCTCATCAAGGAGAGTTCAGGTGAGTCTCTCCTCTCTCATCGGTGACCTCATCAAGGAGTGTTCAGGTGAGTCTCTCCTCTCTCACTGGTGACCTCATCAAGGAGTGTTCAGGTGAGTCTTGCCTCTCTCACTGGTGACCTCATCAAGGAGTGTTCTGGTGAGTCTCTCCTCTCTCATTGGTGACCTCATCAAGGAGTGTTGAGGTGAGTTTCTCCTCTCTCATTTGTGACCTCATCAAGGTGTGTTCAGGTGAGTCTCTCCTCTCTCACTGGTGACCTCATCAAGGAGTGTTCAGGTGAGTCTCTCCTCTCTCACTGGTGACCTCATCAAGGAGTGTTCAGGTGAGTCTTGCCTCTCTCACTGGTGACCTCATCAAGGAGTGTTCTGGTGAGTCTCTCCTCTCTCATTGGTGACCTCATCAAGGAGTGTTGAGGTGAGTTTCTCCTCTCTCATTTGTGAGCTCATCAAGGTGTGTTCAGGTGAGTCTCTCCTCTCTCACTGGTGACCTCATCAAGGAGTGTTCAGGTGAGTCTCTCCTCTCTCATTGGTGACCTCATCAAGGAGTGTTGAGGTGAGTTTCTCCTCTCTCATTTGTGACCTCATCAAGATGTGTTCAGGTGAGTCTCTCCTCTCTCATTGGTGACCTCATCAAGGAGTGTTGAGGTGAGTTTCTCCTCTCTCATTTGTGACCTCATCAAGGTGTGCTCAGGTGAGTCTCTCCTCTCTCATTGGTGACCTCATCAAGGAGTGTTCAGGTGAGTCTCTCCTCTCTCACTGGTGACCTCATCAAGGAGTGTTCAGGTGAGTCTCTCCTCTCTCACTGGTGACCTCATCAAGGAGTGTTCAGGTGAGTCTCTCCTCTCTCACTGGTGACCTCATCAAGGAGTGTTCAGGTGAGTCTCTCCTCTCACACTGGTGACCTCATCAAGGTGTGTTCTGGTGAGTCTCTCCTCTCTCACTGGTGACCTCATCAAGGTGTGTTCAGGTGAGTCTCTCCTCTCTCATTGTAACCTCATCAAGGAGTGTTCAGGTGAGTCTCTCCTCTCTCACTGGTGACCTCATCAGTGAGTGTTCAGGTGAGTTTCTCCTCTCATTGGTGACCTCATCCTCATTAAAGAGTGTTCAGGTGAGTTTTCTCAAGCCCCTGTCTTGGCTGAACATCTCCCTGGTACCTAATGCTTGTCATTAGAGCAGACTTATGAGAATGAAAATGGTCACACTGTGCACCCTGGTTTGTGTGTGTCATCATGTACGACCAGTGTGAACCTTCCTGTGATTTACCAAATCATCAAACACAATGGTTAGTGTGTTTACCCTTTGTTCCTGTGCTACTAACGCTGACCTCTGTTGCAGGGTCCAGCTGCCAGCCTCTCCAGCAGATGTTGTGTCGTGTGTGTTGGCAGCTGGCCGACCTGGCCTCACCCTCCGCCACCATGATCACCAGGTAGGACCTGTACACATAATCTACATAGCAGATGTAGGAACCCTTCCTGCGAGGGTCTGTTTGTTTAAATTTGGTTTCAATCCCTGATTCATCTCCCCATCAGGGTCATACACACACTTGCTGGATTAATTTTGTAACCTACCACTACAACTGATTTCCTACTCCACTCTCCATCATATCATGCTGACTGTAAATACAGTAATCTCCACACCTTCTGATACACAGGTAGAGAATCTTCATCCCAATCTTTTTCACAAGATAAGGCTTGTTTTTCGAACTGTCCTGTAACTTTAGTCACTGTTACTCTTGGCATGATATACCATTCAAAAATAGTGTTGGGCGGTTAAAGTGTGGAATATTTAAAAAGCTGCACATAACTAAACACACTCAAAATAGTGTAATGCTACTAGTCACTAATGCTACTCACTCACTCACTCACTCACTCACTGGGCTAGTACAAGCAGCCGCAACATACACATACACACGCATACATGTCGTCCATATGAGAAATATTCTCAAGGACGACGTTAAACCCAATTCACCCTCAGCTCACCACTCGTTCTGCTGTCAGGTGTCTGCTGGACATCATCATTGAGAACAGCAGGATTCTCTGCCTGGATGGAGAGGAGCGGGGAGGACAAGGAAGGAGAGAAGGAGCCGTTGGTGAAGGAGGACGATATCCCTTCATCAGGGTAGGACAGGTCACGCGAGAAGTCCCTCAGCCTGTTAGGCTACCTCCTGTCTCAGCCCACCATCAAGATGGCCATGTTGCAGCTCATCAGGGGGAGGTAACTACTGTTTTCTGCATTCTGCAGTATTCCAGCTGTCTGACAGCAGCCAGTAAATGATAGGTCTGGACCAGACCATCCAGTCTTTGATATTTTGGACAAAGATCCATGCTTTATGAGGACCATACATTACCACCAAATATATTCGGTCATCACTTACAATCTGATTAATATCCTGGGGATCGGTTTTAACCTTTAAACACCAAGGGGACTAGAGGCATTAAGACAATGAGGTAACACAAGAGTTGTGGGAAAAGAGGGGGACAAAAGTACACTGCATTCTCAGCTCTTGGGAAGTATGCATCGTCTTAGAGGTCAGAATGTTTGGCACTCGGATTACATTCTCATCTTACCCATGTACAGGGTATCCATGGATGTGAACAACGTCATGTAGATTCTAACACATGTGTCTTGTGTCCTAGCTGTGCCGAGGATGAGAAGTATACCAGTATTGTACCTTCATGCTCAGCCTGCTGAACGAGGTCTCAGACCGACCCATCACATACAGGCACAGGAGAATGTGGTGGTAAGTCTGTCCCCATTGTCTGTCCACTGTACCTTTGTGGGTGTGTGAGCTTACTGACTATATAGTGTGTGACTGATTCATTTACAGATTACCGTGATATAGCTGAAAATTGCACATTGACATAAAATGCTCACTTCACATTGATGAAAACAAACTGTCCCGTCACTTTCAAAATCCCATATCTTGGTATAAATGTGTGTTGTAGCCTTGTCAGACTTGTCATTCAAACCTTTTCAAAGACCTGGATTAAAATTTCCCACATGGGTAGAATGACCGATCATTGTTGTGCTATTTCATGAATAGTTGTACAAAACCATGCTCAATCACCAACATATAAGGTAATTCAGGGTGAGTGAGTGTACGTTCGCTTCAAGAGAATTGAAGGGATTCAAGTTTCCACTTGACCGTTCGGAAGAGAGGATGAGAAAGCAAATAAGCATGAGTCAGGATAAGTATAAAATATTCATTTTATCATAAAAATTACTTTTTTTTTTCCTTATCCTGACTCATGCTCTTTTGCTTGTCCCCTTCCTCTTGCGAACATAGTGGAACACTTGTATCTCCTTAATTGAAGCCCCCTTCAATGTAAAATCACTAATTGGTACTCACCCACGAGTTACCTCCCCTGCCGTAAGCGCGGGAACAGGTGTCGCCACCCTCTGGCCTCATGCTTCACTCTCTCCTTCTTCGCCCAGTGAGCAGGATGTGAGAGCGCCTGTGTCTCCTTACACACTATATCCTTTGGTTTTTCTTAGTTAGTTACCTATTATAGTTTACTATAAAGGTATAGCTAGTATCCTTCAGTTATTTGCATTGATAATTAATCGTTATTTCTACTGTTTATTCAATGGAGTTCGTGATTGTTCAGCTAGTTTTACATTGATGAAAACTGTACTATTTGTAGATTACGCTTTTCCGCCATGGATCCCATGTGGTATGCCCTAGTTGTACTACCTTGTGCGCGCTTGATTCACGCTGCAGTTACTGCATAAATTTAACCAATTCTGCCTTTGATAAATACCATCATCTTGCGTCTTGAGACGTGTTGCAGATAGGTCACGCAAACTAGGTGTAGACATGGCCGATACGGCCGGATTGCCCATCCAGTCAACTGCTGTCGAGCGATCCCTCCCGGCCTGGTGTTCTGCTTGAGACCCCATCGGAAGAGGGACGCGGGATGCAGTCCGTCCACCTTCTAAGAAGCGCCGACCGGCCTCTCCAGACATCCAGTCATCGCAGACAAAGTCCAAGAGGGCCTCAACGCCTTCTCAACGAGACTTCGTACCCCCAGGGCAGCCATCCTCCAAAGGAAATTCCACGGTCATCGAGAACTTTCTCAGCCGAGATCGCTCCAGCAGCAGAATTGGGCCTCTACGATGACCAGCCTATCATCATACCGACATACGCCACAAGAAGCCACCAGTGACAGCGACAGGTGACGCCAGCAGAGATCACCATGCAGCCTGATGCCTCTACACTGATGTCAGACGAGATAGCTGAGGGCCCCAACGCTAGCACAGCAGAGAGGGCACCATCTACTACGTCGCGAGATCATCCCAAATCCATCTTATGAAACAGATCATGATTATGATGGAAGGCCACTATAGACTGGAGAAGCAGCCATCCCAGGGTCCGAAGCCATGAAGGCTCCAACGTAGACAGCACCCCAGAGGCACCATCTGTCAACGTGAGCAGCCACGACAATGCAGCTCTTCGGGCTAAGGAAGTCACAGACCACCCACCGACGAAGGACCCAGATGTACAGCCTTCGCCAAGGCCTTCAATGAAGGGGAAAATCATCACCTTCGCCGGCCATACTCAGATATCGAATCTGATCATCAGACCACACGCAGCCTTCGCTGAAGGTCATATCATCGCTCCCCAGGACCGACGAACGAAGCTTCGCTGGCAGCGTTCATGAAGGACACCTGAACCCAGATCGCTCTTCATCTAAAGATCATCAAGGGACTACAATAAGAGCTTCACTGGCTACCATCAGTCCCCTCATAGGTCGCCAAGAAGGTCAACCTATCGATATAGATCACCAAGACGATCGCCTCTCGCTGATCACCACGCCGATCACCTCACACAGGTCTGTACACATAAGCTACCACAACTAGATCTCCACAAGCCAAACGATATAGAGATAGAGCCACACAGCTCCTACATCAGAAGAGCAACAACCTCTTATCTATGATGATGGAATGGAAGATGATGGAGGAATTATTTTCTCAGATGCAGAGATAAGATATTGATGGTCAATAATCTAGATCTCTCATCACCTTCCAAGAGTGGCAATAAGGCGCAGACTTATCTGATGAAAGAAGATGACGCAGATGCTATTACATCTACTCCCACCTAATCTGGATTGGCGGTACCTCAGAACCTAGATACAGCATTTAACAAAGCCACAAAGGTTCAGACGCCACATCTGCCAAATTTCAGCCAAGAAGTTCTCCACGCGATAATATGGACCCCTTCTTCAAAGCCAGCAAGACATCGATGAGAACTATAAGCTGATCTCCGATGCCAAGAACAAGTACTACAAGATTGATGATCGGAAATTGGTTCAGATAGAAACCATGACGAGGCTGCATGTTCTTGGTCTAAATAGATCTAGAACAATAAATGAGACACTTATCTCCAGATTTCGAACACGCACCTCTGAAGATGACAGAATGATTTACTCGGCCCTACTGATGCAAAAGAAGGACCAGCAGTTTTAACAGATCATCTGACGCCTGTCTCAGCAGCACTGACCTTAGCTCGTCGTCAAGGCCTTCCTAGCTTCCTGCAACTGGGGTGAGAACTTTACAGCTCCACTATATACAGCCCCGCGGTCTTCCCATCCATATTTGACGGAGGAATAGACAGAGTCTCCAAAGAAGTCACCAAGATTCTAGAGAAGTCCTGATGATTAAATCGATGGACACGCTAGCCAGTGTCATTCGACAGACTTCACAAAGATACTCAGGGAGATCTAAATTCACCGGCCTACAAAGAGCTAGAGACAGGAAGATTGCCAGTTCCAGGGAAGAGATTCTTTCACGCCTATGGCAACTATAGAGGAGGGTCAGGAAGAGGCAGGACACCCAGAGGTTCCCGCAACTATAAACGCTGAAAGACAGGTTCGAACGACTGGAGTCTTCCACCCCCAGCCGCTCCAGTACAACCGCCACAAGTGGGTGGACGCCTTCAACCACACTGGGAAAACTGGGGAATACTTCAAGACACCTATGTCTCCAACATTCTTCAACGCGAGGATTTCGTATCCCACTACAGGCCAAGCCTCCACTAACAGTCAACCCTCACAAGTTCGAGGTACAGGCACAACAACTACTAAAGTTAAGAGAGGCGGTTACATTACTCCTAACCAAGCAGGCCATAGAAGTAATAGAGCAAGGAAACATCGAACCAGGTTTCTACTCCCCAGTTTTCCTAGTACCCAAGAAGAACTCCAAGGAGAAATACAGACTCATTTACAACATGAGCTTCTTCAACAAGACTTACTTAAGCAGACCACCCAGGTTCATTTTATGATACATCTACCCGAACTTCGTAAGCAGATGATTCACTCTATGGACTGTATAAGCGGTATAGATCTACAAGATGCTTATCTGCACATCCCGATACATCCCTAATCCAGGAAATACCTTCGCTTACGCTTAGACGGGTTACATTACTAGTGGAAAGTACTCCCATCTCGAATAGCATCAGCCCCATGGTTATTCACGAGAATAACGAAACCGATTGTTACCTATCTACATCGGCCAAGGGCTATGCAGTGCGTTTTTCCTCGACGACGGGATACAAGTAGATCAAGATCCACAGCATCTCAAACTACAGTTAAATCCACATCATAAAGCTACTAACACAGCTGGGATGGTTAGTAAACTTACACAAGTCGGACCTAGTACTATCGCAAGATCTGCAATTCCTAGGCATCCGATTTATCACCAATCTCAACCAGATAGTCGCATTCAGAAGACCGCTGGGCTCAAGATCCAACAGATCATTCCACCAGCTCTACTTTCCGCTACCACTTCCGACAATGGCAGAGCTTACTAGGTCTTCTAACATCAGCCCAAGACTTGACAGTCATAGGCAGATTACAGTTACGCCCATTACAGGTCTTCGCCAACACACATCTCGACGACCTACAACCATTCAGTCTACCAAACATCTCAGACCTCATCTATTATGGTGGACAAAGAAATCGAATGTCTGCTAAGGGATTTGTTTAGCAGAGCAGGAATTCAAAACCCATCTATATGTAGATCGCACGCTTCCAAGCGTTGGGGAGCTCATCTCACCAACCGGACGGCATCAGGGTTATGGACTCAGCTAGAAAGCAAACTCCACATAAACGCATTAGAGATGAA